AGCCCTCTCTATGCTGGACTGGGAAACGGGAGCCCACTCAGGGCTGGACAGGACCAGCTGGAACGAAGGAGAGAGGAGAGGGGGCAAGTCCAGCTCTATTTCCCAGTCTACAAGGTCCTCCTCGAAGTCCAGCAGTCCCAGATGTATAATCAGCTCACCCTCAGCCGCGGTGCAGTGGGCGGAGCTCCACTCAGCGCTCTCTCTGTCCGCGGCATTCTGCCTCGTGGCGGGCTCTGTTGCCGGCTTTCGCACCTTGACTGACGTCACTTGCAGCTCCGGCTCCGCGGCAATCCGTTGCTCTGTCGCTCCATGCGGCAACAGCTCGTTGGCCACGGCAAGCTCGGGCATGCGCTCCGTGCAGCGGGGAGATGGTGGGCTGGGCACTGGGTCCGGAGTAGCACCGGAGTAGTCCGGGGATCTGTGTCTCACCAGTGTCTACTCCACAAAGGCGGCGAAACTCGCTCGAGGGCCTTCCTTGGACGACGGTGCACTGTATGCCGGGTTTAGACTGGCGTCATAGAACACACAGAGCGCGTCGTCCGGGTAGCTGGAGAGGTTGGCAAGGACCAGGAACAGTCTGGTGTGGCCCTCGAGCGATCTTTCCCCCTGCTCCAGCAAGAGGAGGAGGTATTCAGGGCGGGCAAGGGGATCCATAGACACCACGGGAAAAAAAGACACTGTATAAAAAACAGAAACAAAAACGGAGGGTAGACACGGAGGTTACTGTTTTCGGTCTGGTGTTCTGTCACGATACCGCTACTGTGAGGACCACGGAGCGAGGAACGAGGAACGAGGAGATGGGGTGTAAACTTCTAACGAACAGACTTTAATTAACATCCAAGGAACCAGGAACACACACGTAGCGGGGAAAGACGAAGAACTCAGAACAGGACTCACTATAAATACACCTGACTTGACGAGGGGATGACGAGACACACCTGGAACTAATGAACAATTAACATGGGAAAATTAGGTCAGGGCAGGCACATGGAGAGGGAAAAATACACAGAGTCCAGGGGAGTGACAGTTACGTTATTACAAAAATTTCCATTGAAAAAAGTATGACAAACACATGACACAAGTGAAAACATTTACACACATTTGGTGTTTAGACATTTGTCCCACTCAGTCAATATGAGTTTAATTAACAACTAATGTATTTACACTGAAACCATTGTAAATACATTAAAAAAAAAACACTGGAAACGTATCACATTCACAACTCAAAATCTGATGTTGATTTTCTTGGTCAGGTGACAGAAAACAACATGTACACTGATTGACAACAGTGAATTTTGTAAACCTCCAAATTTAAACTTAAAGGGGTCATATGATGCTTTTTTAAAGATCATTATTTTGTGTATTTGGTATAACAGAATATGTTGACATACTTTATTGTTCAAAAAACACATTATTTTTCAAATACTGTACATTATTGTAGGTCCTCTATGCCCCGCCTCTCTCAAACGCTTCGTTTTCTACAAAGTCCCGCCTTCCGACAAGCGCAGTCTGCAAGCACGCGTCGGAAATGTAACGCCCCTTACCATAATCACGAGCGTCAGCTTTCAAAGTAAATATCAAGACAGTTAATAATGTCGTTAGTTTTACCATCAGTTCAAGCCCGAAAGGGGAACAGAGTC